GTTGCTGTGGGTCACACTGCTGCTGTTGTAGTGGGAGAAGCTGAGGTTCTGCTGTAGAACAGTCAGTGTTACAGTGGGAGCAGGTCGACCTGTGGCTGAACAGGACACAACTGACTCTGCAGAAAAATCTGATCTGCTGACATCAAGGATGGGTTCATGCAGCTCTGAGAGGAGAACAAACATCATTTTGATGATAATATTAAACTTTTTTACCTTTGCAGCATGCCTCCTTTCCTCACCATAGAGTCTGAGGCAGGTCCTGACAATCAGGATTCCTCTAGGATAGGTGCTAAACAGACATTGGTAGCAGCCTTCATCCTCCTCCATGACCTTCCTGATCACCATGGAGCAGCTCTGAAGATCTTCACAGAGAAAATCCATCTTGTCCTTCAGGTCAAGTCTCACTCTGTAACCATAGTCTTTTGTATAGGAGGCAAGACTCTTCTGTTCATTATGGCGGACTTTCTGCCAGGTGATCTTTAGAACGTCTTTATCCTCAGTGAGCTGACAGCTTAGAGAGGCTTGATCACCCACTGCTGCCCACACAGTCTCCACTGTTTCTATTAGAGCAAACTGACCTGGAGGAAACATATGGGGAGAAATAGAGCTTTAACAGATGTTAGTTATTGGAAATTCCTGAAAAACTTTTCAGGAAGAAGCAGTTTCACAATCCGGACCTATCAGTTGGGCTGTTGAGATTTTAACTGGTGCACAAAACTTAATCTCCATCAATAAATTGGAGACATGTATTTCTGATCACAATCTGATACTTAGAACATTACTGACCCCAGATTTTGGTGAATCTTATTACATTTCATTTGTCATAAAAGTTATAGAACCTTGAGTCATGATGCTGATTCTGTTTGAATGAAAATCCCAAACTCAAAATGATTTAAAGATGAATACAGCAAATGTACCAGCTGGGTTTTTACTTCCAGAAGCTGGTAAGATATAGAATCATCACCTAAGAAATGAAATGTTTACTGCTTTGAAATGAGGTCAAAGGTAACAGAGAGGAAGCTGCTAAAATATAGTTTAACACTCTTGTTTTGGAGACTTCTATTGTCGGATAAAACTAAACCTAAAGTATCCCCATGAATCACTTACAAGTTTCTTTAGGATAGTAAACTTAATATTTTGAAGTGATCATTAAATTAACCCTTTATAGAGAAATCAGTGAAATCCTTTGAAAATCAAAATTTCAAGCCAATAATTTCATTGGAATCCAGGAAAAGACCTTATTACCTCTGTAACATTCTAAACATATGGATGGCAAAAATGAACGTCAATGTAATAACAACAAATGCCAACTTGCCTGAAAAGAAAAAACATAAAAATAACAAAAGTTCTTCTATAAGAAATTAATGAAAAACACTCTGAAAGGGAAAGAAACACATTTTTTTTGGTCCAATATAACCTGAGAGGCATTAATGCTAAACTGGTACCTGCATGTTTTAGTTTTAAAATCTAAATATAATTACTAACAAGGCGCATTAACTTTTTAACTTTACTTTTAACTTTTCAATCAGCTTTTTGCCTTTTTTTTCAACAACTTAATTTCCGGTAGGAAATATATCATTCCAGGGTTAATCTAATTGGTCAAATGCCAAAATAAGATGTACAGCCATGTAGCGGGATCTTTGCTGAATTGCTGGATCTTGTGCTTCTAGACCTCACTGAGGGGTGGGGGGCGGACTCCATTTGTAAGGGATATGCAAGTGAACAAAACACTAACTTGCCCTATAAAGGGTTAAAGAACAAAATGAGTGCGTTAGCGAAGCTGCCTGAGGAGAAACCAGTTAGACCAGTTCTTCAACACACCAGGAAGGAAGCTGAAGAAAGAAAGAAAAGCTCTAAAGTGTGACTACAGTAGAAAAAACCACACCAAAAAAATGAGCATAGTGTTGGTAAACTTTTTCAAAAGCTGTTAAATAATATGCATTAAACATCAATGCAAAAAAGACAAAGGGAACAAATTATGGCTAAAAACAAGGAGTTAGTAAATGCAGTCATTATAGGACACTTTTGTTTAGTGAGCAAACAGCCTTCCTTACTGTATAAATCATCCAGTTAATGTATAACAACACATATTTTCTCAAATCTTATGTAGCATCTAAACCACTGCATAGATATATAGAAATGACCAAAAATAGAAGAGAACTTCTAACAATAGTAAAAAATGTCTACTTCAGTCAATCAAGACAAATTAACTCTCACCTGTCTGAAGGATGACGTTTACTAAAAAACAGCTGATTATAACAGCAGGTTGCATTTAGCTGTTTTTTAACACCCAGCCATGTTTCCTGTCCTGCATGCATCCATGCACTGAAGCTCAGACAGGGGAGGTTTCTGCTCAGTGGTGATGTCACTAGTCACTTAAAACGCTTTCGGAGGCCCGACAGGTGTGGGAGGGGTTAACAATTCTACATCAGGATTAATCTCTATTTAAAAAAAAAAATCTGATTAATACTTATTATTTATCAGCCACCAATTTTAAAGAAAACATCCTGAAACTGTTTGATTTTGACATTAACCAAGAATAAAAGCAGCATTAAACTAATAACCATATCTTACTTTCGGTATCTGAGTTATAAAGCTCACAGATTTAACGCACAATAAAGATGATCCAAAGTCTAAATTTTAAGTTTCAAGCATCTGTAAGAATAATTTGGTTGGTGGAGTTTGTGAGTAATCAAAATAAAACACAGAAGTGTTTGTCATTCATACAGTTCATTAAAATAAAACAGGAAGAGCTCGATGGAAAACCAAAAAAATATGTTAAAAGTATTCACACCCCCGTATGATTTTCCACACCAGATTTACAAAAGTTTGTGTACTTCATTGGGACTTTATGTGAAAGACCAATGTGAAATAGTACGTCTATACAACTTTGAAATTGTTGGGATCCAGAGGCTTGCCCTCCAGAGGGCGCCGAGGATCCCTTCCTGTTTTTATGTTTTTTCTGTTGGGATCTGGGGTACTGTTGGGAACTGGAGATCTGCCACCTGTCTCCAGCAGAGAGCGCTATGGGTCTCCTGAGCTGGAGCCTCC